GTGACCCCTGAGTGACCCCTGAGTGACCCCTGAGTGACCTTTGACCTTCCACTGACCCCTCCCCCCCTCACTGACCCCTCCCCCCGCAGACCAAGGGTCCCCTCCCCGCCGGGACCATCCTGAAGCTGGTGACGTCGGGGGAGGGGAAGCCCACCACCATCCTGACCAGCACGCAGGCGGGGGCGGGGGCGGCCAAGCCCCCCACCATCCTGGGCATCAGCAGCGTGACCCCCAGCACCACCAAACCCGGGACCACCACCATCATCAAAACCATCCCCATGTCGGCCATCATCACCCAGTCGGGGGCTACCGGTGAGTGAGACCCCTCCCCAAATTAACCTGAGACCCCCAGGATCATCCCTGACCTCCCTGAGCCCCCCAACCCCCTCGAGACCCCCCCCAACCCTCCCCACTGACCCCATCAAAACCATCCCTGTGTCGGCCATCATCACCCAGTCGGGGGCTACCGGGGAGTGAGACCCCTCCCCAAATTAACCTGAGACCCCCAGGATCATCCCTGACCTCCCTGAGACCCCCAAACCCCCCTGAGACCCCCCAAATCACCCCTGAGACCCCCAAACCCCCCTGAGACCCCCCCCAAATCTCCCCCCAGCCCCCGTCACCGCCTGCTCAGGGGCAGCAGCGGGGGCTGGGGGGTGCCTTCCATGTCCCCTGATGTCCCCCTGATGTCCTCCTGTGTCCCCCCTGCTGTCCCCTGGTGTCCCCTGATGTCCCCTGCTGTCCCCTGATGTCCCCTGATGTCCCCCATGTCCCCTGATGTCCCCGCTGTCCCCTGATGTCCCCTGTGTCCCCTGCTGTCCCCTGGTGTCCCCTGATGTCCCCTGGTGTCCCCTGATGTCCCCTGATGTCCCCTGATGTCCCTGGTGTCCCCTGATGTCCCCTGCTGTCCCCTGCTGTCCCCTGGTGTCCCCTGTGTCCCCTGATGTCCCCCCGTGTCCCCTGGTGTCCCCCTGGTGTCCCCTAATGTCCCTGATGTCCCCTGATGTCCCCTGCTGTCCCCTGATGTCCCTGATGTCCCCTGCTGTCCCCTGATGTCCCTGATGTCCCCTGATGTCCCCTGATGTCCCCTGATGTCCCTGGTGTCCCCCATGTCCCCTGCTGTCCCCGCTGTCCCCTGCTGTCCCCGCTGTCCCCTGATGTCCCTGGTGTCCCCCATGTCCCCTGCTGTCCCCTGTGTCCCCTGATGTCCTCCTGTGTCCCCCGTGTCCCCTGGTGTCCCCCATGTCCCCTGATGTCCCTGATGTCCCTGGTGTCCCCTGGTGTCCCCCTGGTGCCCCCTAATGTCCCTGCTGTCCCCGCTGTCCCCTGATGTCCCCTGATGTCCCCGCTGTCCCCTGCTGTCCCCTGATGTCCCCCCGTGTCCCCCCAGGTGTCACCAGCAGCCCCGGGATCAAGTCCCCCATCACCATCATCACCACCAAGGTGATGACGTCGGGCACCGGGACCCCCGCCAAAATCATCACGGCCGTGCCCAAACTGGGCGGGGGGCACGGGCAGCAGGGCGTGACACAGGTCAGGGGACACCGGGGGGACATCGGGGGGGTTGGGAGGGACATTATGGGGGTTTGGGGACACCGGGGGGTTTAGGGGGGTTTGGGGACTTTGGGGTTTTGGGGACACCAGGGGGACACCGGGGGGTTTAGGGGGGTTTGGGGACTTTGGGGGGGTTTGGGGAGGACATTGGGGGTGTTGGGGACATTGGGAAGGACTTTGGGGGGGTTTGGGGACACTGGGGGGTTGGGGACATCGGGGGGGGATTTGGGGACATTGGGGGACGTAGGGGACATTGGGTTTGGGGACATTGGGGGCATTTGGGGACATTGGGGTTATTTCGGATTTTGGGGGGATTTGGGGACATTTGGGACATTGGGGACATCAGGGACGTGGGGGACATTGTGGGGCATTGGGGGCTTTGGGGACAGGGGGGACATTGGGACACGGGGGACAGGAAATCGGGGGATTTGGGGACAGGGGGGTGACACCGAGGTGGGGTCAGGGTTTGGGGACCCTGGGGTCAGCCGAGGGGTCCCAGCCCGGGTGCCAGCGGTGTCCCCACGGTGTCCCCACGGTGTCCCCACGGTGTCCCCATGTCCAGGTGGTGCTGAAGGGGGCCCCAGGCCAGCCGGGCACGATCCTGCGGACGGTGCCCATGGGCGGTGTCCGGTTGGTCACTCCCGTCACCGTCTCGGCCGTCAAGCCCACGGTGACCACCCTGGTGGTCAAGGGCACCACCGGTGAGTGCGGTCACTCGTGGGCAGGGGTCACCTCATGGTCACTGGGGTGGTCACCGGGGCAGGGGTCACCTCATGGTCACTGCGGTGGTCACTTGTGGGCAGGGGTCACCTCATGGTCACTGGGGTGGTCACTTGTGGGCAGGGGTCACCTCATGGTCACTGCGGTGGTCACTCGTGGGCAGGGGTCACCTCTGGGTCACTGCGGTGGTCACTCATGGGCAGGGGTCACCTCATGGTCACTGCGGTGGTCACTCGTGGGCAGGGGTCACCTCTGGGTCACTGGGGTGGTCACTCATGGGCAGGGGTCACCTCATGGTCACCAGGGTGGTCACTCGTGGGCAGGGGTCACCTCTGGGTCACTGCGGTGGTCACTCGTGGGCAGGGGTCACCTCATGGTCACCGGGGTGGTCACTCGTGGGCAGGGGTCACCTCATGGTCACTGCGGTGGTCACTCGTAGGCAGGGGTCACCTCATGGTCACTGCGGTGGTCACTCGTGGGCAGGGGTCACCTCTGGGTCACTGCGGTGGTCACTTGTGGGCAGGGGTCACCTCTGGGTCACTGGGGTGGTCACTCATGGGCAGGGGTCACTTCTGGGTCACTTTGGGGTCACTTCAGGGTCACACTGTGGTCACTGGGGTCACCCTGTGGTCACTTTTGGTCACCCTGTGGTCACTTTTGGTCACTCTGTGGTCACTTTTGGTCACTCTGTGGTCACTGGGGTCACCCTGTGGTCACTTTTGGTCACTCTGTGGTCACTGGGGTCACTGTGGGCGGTCACTCACGGCCGTGCTGTCCCTCCCAGGTGTGACCACGCTGGGGACGGTGACAGGGACGGTGTCCACCAGCCTGGCGGGAGGGGCCGGTGGCCACAGCGCCACGGCCTCGCTGGCCACGCCCATCACCACCCTGGGGACAATCGCCACCCTCTCGAGCCAGGTCCTGAACCCTGCGGCCATCACGGCCACCGCGGCCGGGGGCGGCCTGGGGACACCGACCATCACCATGCAGGTGAGGGACAGGGGGACACCGGGGACATTGGGGACATTGGGGACATTGGGGACATTGGGGACATTGGGGACACTGGGGACACTGGGGACACTGGGGGACATTGGGGACATTGGGGGGACATTGGGGGACATTGGGGTCATTGGGGACACTGGGGACATTGGGGACATTGGGGACACCGACCATCACCATGCAGATGAGGGGACAGGGAGGACATTGGGGACACGGGGGACAGGGTGGCCTGGGGACACCTGTGCAGGTGAGGGGACGCTGGTGACACTGGGGACATTGACGACAGGGGGGGACACCGGTGACACCGCTGACGTTCCTGGTGACACCGGTGACACCACCACACCCGAGGCGCCACCGACGCCCTTTGGGGGCGACCCTCGGGGACACTCAGGAATTGAGGGGTGGGGGGGACACCCCCGAGTGTCCCCTGACGCGGTTTGGGGACACAGCCGGTGTCCCAGCCCACGCAGGTGACGCTCATCACCACGCCCAGCGGCGTGGAGGCCCAGCCCGTCCACGACCTCCCCGTGTCCATCCTGGCGTCCCCCACGGCCGAAGCCCCTCCGGCCGCCGCCTCGGGGGGCCCCGCGCTGACCGAGCCCCCCGCGGCCGAGCCCGGCACGGTGACCCTGGTGTGCTCCAACCCCCCCTGCGAGACCCACGAGACCGGCACCACCAACACGGCCACCACCAGCCTGGTGGCCAACGTGGGGACGGGAGGGGGACAGGTGCAGCTGCTGTGCGAGGACACGGGCGGGGGGACGGCGCTGCCGGCGCCCCCCCGGGCCTGCTCCAACCCCCCCTGCGAGACCCACGAGACGGGGACCACCAACACGGTGACGACGACGGCGCCACGGCAACCGCGCGCCGGCGACAGCGGGACGGCCGGCGCGGTGACGGTGACGGGGTCCCAGCTCTGCTCCAACCCCCCCTGCGAGACCCACGAGACCGGCACCACCAACACGGCCACCGCGGCGGCGGGGCCGGCGCGCCTGGGGGGTCCGGGCTGCGCCACGCAGCAAACGGCGGCCACGGGGACGACGATGACGGCGCGGCTGTGCCCGGCCGAGGGCGGCGGCGGCGCCGCGCGCCAAGGGCAGGATGTCACCGCGCCGCCGTGCCAAACGCCCTGGGGACAGCCCGAGGTGGGCGTGGGGGAGACCCCCGGCAGCGCGGGGGGGTGGGTGTGCTCCAACCCCCCCTGCGAGACACACGAGACCGGCACCACCAACACGGTGACGACGACGGCGCCACGGCAACCGCGCGCCGGCGACAGCGGGACGGCCGGCGCGGTGACGGTGACGGGGTCCCAGCTCTGCTCCAACCCCCCCTGCGAGACCCACGAGACCGGCACCACCAACACGGCCACCGCGGCGGCGGGGCCGGCGCGCCTGGGGGGTCCGGGCTGCGCCACGCAGCAAACGGCGGCCACGGGGACGACGATGACGGCGCGGCTGTGCCCGGCCGAGGGCGGCGGCGGCGCCGCGCGCCAAGGGCAGGATGTCACCGCGCCGCCGTGCCAAACGCCCTGGGGACAGCCCGAGGTGGGCGTGGGGGAGACCCCCGGCAGCGCGGGGGGGTGGGTGTGCTCCAACCCCCCCTGCGAGACACACGAGACCGGCACCACCAACACGGTGACGACGACGGCGCCACGGCAACCGCGCGGCGGCGACAGCGGGACGGCCGGCGCGGTGACGGTGACGGGGTCCCAGCTCTGCTCCAACCCCCCCTGCGAGACCCACGAGACCGGCACCACCAACACGGCCACCACCAGCCTGGTGGCCAACGTGGGGACGGGAGGGGGACAGGTGCAGCTGCTGTGCGAGGACACGGGCGGGGGGACGGCGCTGCCGGCGCCCCCCCGGGCCTGCTCCAACCCCCCCTGCGAGACCCACGAGACGGGGACCACCAACACGGTGACGACGACGGCGCCACGGCCGCCCTGTGCCGAGGACAGCGGGACGGCGGTGACAACGACGGGGTCCCAGCTCTGCTCCAACCCCCCCTGCGAGACCCACGAGACAGGGACGACCAGCACGGCCACCACCACCACGGCCACCTCGCGCCCGCCGCCACCGGGGACAGCACCGGGGACAGCACCGGGGACGTCATCGGGGACGTCACCGGTGCCACCACCCTGCTCCAGCCGCGAGCCCGGCGCGGTGACGGTGACGGGGTCCCAGCTCTGCTCCAACCCCCCCTGCGAGACCCACGAGACGGGGGCCACCAACACGGTGACGACAACAGCGTCACGGCCACCCCGCGCCAGCGACAGCGGGACGGCGGTGACAACAACGGGGACACGGGTGTGCTCCAACCCCCCCTGCGAGACCCACGAGACGGGGGCCACCAACACGGTGACGACAACAGCGTCACGGCCACCCCGCGCCAGCGACAGCGGGACGGCGGTGACAACAACGGGGACACGGGTGTGCTCCAACCCCCCCTGCGAGACCCACGAGACGGGGGCCACCAACACGGTGACGACAACAGCGTCACGGCCACCCCGCGCCAGCGACAGCGGGACGGCGGTGACAACAACGGGGACACGGGTGTGCTCCAACCCCCCCTGCGAGACCCACGAGACGGGGGCCACCAACACGGTGACGACAACAGCGTCACGGCCACCCCGCGCCAGCGACAGCGGGACGGCGGTGACAACAACGGGGACACGGGTGTGCTCCAACCCCCCCTGCGAGACCCACGAGACGGGGGCCACCAACACGGTGACGACAACAGCGTCACGGCCACCCCGCGCCAGCGACAGCGGGACGGCGGTGACAACAACGGGGACACGGGTGTGCTCCAACCCCCCCTGCGAGACCCACGAGACGGGGGCCACCAACACGGTGACGACAACAGCGTCACGGCCACCCCGCGCCAGCGACAGCGGGACGGCGGTGACAACAACGGGGACACGGGTGTGCTCCAACCCCCCCTGCGAGACCCACGAGACGGGGGCCACCAACACGGTGACGACAACAGCGTCACGGCCACCCCGCGCCAGCGACAGCGGGACGGCGGTGACAACAACGGGGACACGGGTGTGCTCCAACCCCCCCTGCGAGACCCACGAGACGGGGGCCACCAACACGGTGACGACAACAGCGTCACGGCCACCCCGCGCCAGCGACAGCGGGACGGCGGTGACAACAACGGGGACACGGGTGTGCTCCAACCCCCCCTGCGAGACCCACGAGACGGGGGCCACCAACACGGTGACGACAACAGCGTCACGGCCACCCCGCGCCAGCGACAGCGGGACGGCGGTGACAACAACGGGGACACGGGTGTGCTCCAACCCCCCCTGCGAGACCCACGAGACGGGGGCCACCAACACGGTGACGACAACAGCGTCACGGCCACCCCGCGCCAGCGACAGCGGGACGGCGGTGACAACAACGGGGACACGGGTGTGCTCCAACCCCCCCTGCGAGACCCACGAGACGGGGGCCACCAACACGGTGACGACAACAGCGTCACGGCCACCCCGCGCCAGCGACAGCGGGACGGCGGTGACAACAACGGGGACACGGGTGTGCTCCAACCCCCCCTGCGAGACCCACGAGACGGGGGCCACCAACACGGTGACGACAACAGCGTCACGGCCACCCCGCGCCAGCGACAGCGGGACGGCGGTGACAACAACGGGGACACGGGTGTGCTCCAACCCCCCCTGCGAGACCCACGAGACGGGGGCCACCAACACGGTGACGACAACAGCGTCACGGCCACCCCGCGCCAGCGACAGCGGGACGGCGGTGACAACAACGGGGACACGGGTGTGCTCCAACCCCCCCTGCGAGACCCACGAGACGGGGGCCACCAACACGGTGACGACAACAGCGTCACGGCCACCCCGCGCCAGCGACAGCGGGACGGCGGTGACAACAACGGGGACACGGGTGTGCTCCAACCCCCCCTGCGAGACCCACGAGACGGGGGCCACCAACACGGTGACGACAACAGCGTCACGGCCACCCCGCGCCAGCGACAGCGGGACGGCGGTGACAACAACGGGGACACGGGTGTGCTCCAACCCCCCCTGCGAGACCCACGAGACGGGGGCCACCAACACGGTGACGACAACAGCGTCACGGCCACCCCGCGCCAGCGACAGCGGGACGGCGGTGACAACAACGGGGACACGGGTGTGCTCCAACCCCCCCTGCGAGACCCACGAGACGGGGGCCACCAACACGGTGACGACAACAGCGTCACGGCCACCCCGCGCCAGCGACAGCGGGACGGCGGTGACAACAACGGGGACACGGGTGTGCTCCAACCCCCCCTGCGAGACCCACGAGACGGGGGCCACCAACACGGTGACGACAACAGCGTCACGGCCACCCCGCGCCAGCGACAGCGGGACGGCGGTGACAACAACGGGGACACGGGTGTGCTCCAACCCCCCCTGCGAGACCCACGAGACGGGGGCCACCAACACGGTGACGACAACAGCGTCACGGCCACCCCGCGCCAGCGACAGCGGGACGGCGGTGACAACAACGGGGACACGGGTGTGCTCCAACCCCCCCTGCGAGACCCACGAGACGGGGGCCACCAACACGGTGACGACAACAGCGTCACGGCCACCCCGCGCCAGCGACAGCGGGACGGCGGTGACAACAACGGGGACACGGGTGTGCTCCAACCCCCCCTGCGAGACCCACGAGACGGGGGCCACCAACACGGTGACGACAACAGCGTCACGGCCACCCCGCGCCAGCGACAGCGGGACGGCGGTGACAACAACGGGGACACGGGTGTGCTCCAACCCCCCCTGCGAGACCCACGAGACGGGGGCCACCAACACGGTGACGACAACAGCGTCACGGCCACCCCGCGCCAGCGACAGCGGGACGGCGGTGACAACAACGGGGACACGGGTGTGCTCCAACCCCCCCTGCGAGACCCACGAGACGGGGGCCACCAACACGGTGACGACAACAGCGTCACGGCCACCCCGCGCCAGCGACAGCGGGACGGCGGTGACAACAACGGGGACACGGGTGTGCTCCAACCCCCCCTGCGAGACCCACGAGACGGGGGCCACCAACACGGTGACGACAACAGCGTCACGGCCACCCCGCGCCAGCGACAGCGGGACGGCGGTGACAACAACGGGGACACGGGTGTGCTCCAACCCCCCCTGCGAGACCCACGAGACGGGGGCCACCAACACGGTGACGACAACAGCGTCACGGCCACCCCGCGCCAGCGACAGCGGGACGGCGGTGACAACAACGGGGACACGGGTGTGCTCCAACCCCCCCTGCGAGACCCACGAGACGGGGGCCACCAACACGGTGACGACAACAGCGTCACGGCCACCCCGCGCCAGCGACAGCGGGACGGCGGTGACAACAACGGGGACACGGGTGTGCTCCAACCCCCCCTGCGAGACCCACGAGACGGGGGCCACCAACACGGTGACGACAACAGCGTCACGGCCACCCCGCGCCAGCGACAGCGGGACGGCGGTGACAACAACGGGGACACGGGTGTGCTCCAACCCCCCCTGCGAGACCCACGAGACGGGGGCCACCAACACGGTGACGACAACAGCGTCACGGCCACCCCGCGCCAGCGACAGCGGGACGGCGGTGACAACAACGGGGACACGGGTGTGCTCCAACCCCCCCTGCGAGACCCACGAGACGGGGGCCACCAACACGGTGACGACAACAGCGTCACGGCCACCCCGCGCCAGCGACAGCGGGACGGCGGTGACAACAACGGGGACACGGGTGTGCTCCAACCCCCCCTGCGAGACCCACGAGACGGGGGCCACCAACACGGTGACGACAACAGCGTCACGGCCACCCCGCGCCAGCGACAGCGGGACGGCGGTGACAACAACGGGGACACGGGTGTGCTCCAACCCCCCCTGCGAGACCCACGAGACGGGGGCCACCAACACGGTGACGACAACAGCGTCACGGCCACCCCGCGCCAGCGACAGCGGGACGGCGGTGACAACAACGGGGACACGGGTGTGCTCCAACCCCCCCTGCGAGACCCACGAGACGGGGGCCACCAACACGGTGACGACAACAGCGTCACGGCCACCCCGCGCCAGCGACAGCGGGACGGCGGTGACAACAACGGGGACACGGGTGTGCTCCAACCCCCCCTGCGAGACCCACGAGACGGGGGCCACCAACACGGTGACGACAACAGCGTCACGGCCACCCCGCGCCAGCGACAGCGGGACGGCGGTGACAACAACGGGGACACGGGTGTGCTCCAACCCCCCCTGCGAGACCCACGAGACGGGGGCCACCAACACGGTGACGACAACAGCGTCACGGCCACCCCGCGCCAGCGACAGCGGGACGGCGGTGACAACAACGGGGACACGGGTGTGCTCCAACCCCCCCTGCGAGACCCACGAGACGGGGGCCACCAACACGGTGACGACAACAGCGTCACGGCCACCCCGCGCCAGCGACAGCGGGACGGCGGTGACAACAACGGGGACACGGGTGTGCTCCAACCCCCCCTGCGAGACCCACGAGACGGGGGCCACCAACACGGTGACGACAACAGCGTCACGGCCACCCCGCGCCAGCGACAGCGGGACGGCGGTGACAACAACGGGGACACGGGTGTGCTCCAACCCCCCCTGCGAGACCCACGAGACGGGGGCCACCAACACGGTGACGACAACAGCGTCACGGCCACCCCGCGCCAGCGACAGCGGGACGGCGGTGACAACAACGGGGACACGGGTGTGCTCCAACCCCCCCTGCGAGACCCACGAGACGGGGGCCACCAACACGGTGACGACAACAGCGTCACGGCCACCCCGCGCCAGCGACAGCGGGACGGCGGTGACAACAACGGGGACACGGGTGTGCTCCAACCCCCCCTGCGAGACCCACGAGACGGGGGCCACCAACACGGTGACGACAACAGCGTCACGGCCACCCCGCGCCAGCGACAGCGGGACGGCGGTGACAACAACGGGGACACGGGTGTGCTCCAACCCCCCCTGCGAGACCCACGAGACCGGCACCACCAACACGGTGACGACGACGGCGCCACGGCCGCCCTGTGCCGAGGACAGCGGGACGGCGGTGACAACGACGGGGTCCCAGCTCTGCTCCAACCCCCCCTGCGAGACCCACGAGACCGGCACCACCAACACGGTGACGACGACGGCGCCCCGGCCGCCCTGTGCCGAGGACAGCGGGACGGCGGTGACCACGACGGGGTCCCAGCTCTGCTCCAACCCCCCCTGCGAGACCCACGAGACCGGCACCACCAACACGGCCACCACGGCCACCGCCGGCTCCCGGCCGGGTGACGCCACCACCACGGCCACCAGCGCTGCCACCTCCGGCTCAGGGGGGTCCCCCCAGCCTGGTGCCAACCCCCCCTGCGGGACCCCCGAGCCCCCCGCGGGGTCCCCGCCCTGCCAGGGCCAGCAGGGCGGTGCTGAGGGGGTGACGGTGCCAGCGGCCGGCGGCGTCACCGGCGGCGTCACCAGCGGTGTCACCAGCGGCGTCACCAGCCCCCCCCGCGCCTGCTCCAACCCCCCCTGCGAGACCCACGAGACGGGGACGACGGCCACGGCCACCACGGTGACGGCCAGCATGGGCGCCAGCCAAGGTGAGCCTCGGGTTGTCCCCAGAGTGTCCCCAGAGTGTCCCCAGTCTGTCCTCAGATTGTCCTCAAACTGTCCCCAGAGTGTCCCCAAACTGACCCCAGATTGTCCCCAGAGTGTCCCCAAATCATCCCCAAATTGTCCCCAACCTGTCCTCAGATTGTCCCCAAATGGTTCCCAAACTGCCCCCAAATTGTCCCCAAACTGTCCCCAGGGTGTCCCCAAATCATCCCCAGAGTGTCCCCAGGGTGTCCCCCCAGACTGTCCTCAGAATGTCCCCAGAGTGTCCCCAAACTGTCCCCAAACTGTCCCCAAATCGTCCCCAAACTGTCCCCAGAGTGTCCCCAAACTGTCCCCAAATCATCCCCAAACTGTCCCCAGAGTGTCCCCAAACTGTCCCCAAATCCCCTCCAA